CTTATTTTGACAGACCTGCGGAGATAATAACATGCACAAAAACAAGACAGAGCAAAACCAAGCAACAACATACAACAAAATAACAACAACAACAAACCAATGACAAAAAAAACAAAACAAAACACAAGAAGAAAGAAAAGCTTGTAGTTAGTTCAAGAATCGTTTGTTGTGATGGCAACTCTTTACAGGAGTCTAAAGCCATATCTTCCCGCCTCTGCCAGCCCTCCTCCCCTTTCCCCTCTGAGTGGCTGGTGGTTTCCAATTTTTGATCTTGAAGTTAGCAGCTCAAAAGGAAACCTTCCACCACTAGGGATTAGAGATGTGCCTTTGTGGCGTCCGTAAAGGGATTAGATAGCTGGACTAAATTGAATGAGGTAAAGACTGGTGAGCAATTTGATAATGAAACCATTAGACTCTACAAGTGCCTCAATTTAGACCACAGGTTCTCATCCTGTGGGTCGCAACCCCTTTGGGGGCCGATCGACCCTTTCACAGGGGTCGCTCGTTTCATAACAGTAGCAAAATTAAAAGTAAGAAGCAGCAGCGAAAATAATTTGATGGTTGGGGGGGTCACCACAACAAGAGGAACTGTATGAAAGGGTCGTGGCATGAGGAAGGTTGAGAACCACTGATTTAGACTACGACACCAGGGTGCGAAAAGGCTTGGAGCTCCAGCTGCCTGGCTTTCCAGTTTGATTTCTTGGGAAGATCTGCAGTCTGGCCGCATTGCCCAAGAAACAACTGGCCGCCATCCCAAACCTGTCGCCTCCAAAGGCTGCCGCTCTGCCTACACAGGGAAGGCTAGACAGCACCAGGAAGGCTAGACAGGACCACAAGCCCCGCCCCGCCCCGTCCGCCCCGCCCCTCATCCCGCCTCCTCCGGAGGCCTTCGCTCCAAACACGCCCCGCGACCTGGGCGCGGCGGTTAGACGTCAGTAAAGGGCACCACCCATTCCTAGCTTTCTCCGAAGAACGGGGCCCCTACCAAGGCAGGAGATTGGACGTTGCCTTCCGACGTCATCATCGCGCGCCCGTTCACTCCTCGGCGCGCTTGGGTTGAGCACGGCACTTGGGAGCGCTTGCTTCTCGCTTTGCTGGTCAGACGCACGATGTTCCCGGCGGCCCCTTCCCCGCGGACCCCGGGTCCTGGAGCCCGAAGGGGCCCGCTTAGTGGCATCGGCCCCGGCTCCACGCCCCGGACAGCAAGCAGGAAGGGGCTGCCGCTGGGGTCCGCAGTCAGTTCTCCTGTTGTTTTCTCGCCGGTAGGCCGGCGGAGCTCGCTGAGTTCACGGTAAGTGATCTGTGCTTGGGTGAGTCTGACGACTGGCAAGCTCCTGGGTCTCGGTGGATTTGATGGGTTAGTGTTCTGTTATAAACGGGCGAGACAACCACATCACTATATTAATAATTCAAATCCTTTATTAAACAGCTGGACCAGGAGTAGACTAGCTCCTGGAAAGCTCTAGATCCAGAGCAAAGAAACTTCCAAAATTTTTGTAGTTCAAAATAGAGGGCTGCCTCAAGGGGAAGGATGTTCTAGCCATTACATTCTTTCTGGTTGGCAGAGACAGCACAGCTGCAGGTCCCAATTCAAGGTCTTACAAGATAGTACGCATTTCTTGCTAATCGAGCAGGAGGGCTTGGAGACATCTGGGAAGAATTAAGGTCTTGTTGGAGAGCAGGGAGAGGGAAGAGCATGGGGCGGGGGGCTAACTGCTAGCAGGGGTTAAAGGCAGTTTGAAACAAGATGTAGTTCCTCTTGTTAGGCTTGGTTACTAGTCTCTACAAGCCTTGGAAAATGGGCGAAATTCCACAGTATTGAGAAAATAGACCCCTCCCACCTGTGCCAGTTATTTCAGCTTCATCTTTGTTAATCTATCAATAGAGTCATCACGTTGCATTTTTCATGGAAATTACTTTTGTGCTGAAGTGAAGAACAAACTGAATCTTTGGTCACTACTCACGCCATACTACTTTCTCTATGATGTGAAGTAAATCACTCGGATTCTTACTATTGAAATGGGGAATGATAATTTGATCGAGAGCCAGCTTCATAAGGCCAGGAGTCAATATGAAATGCAGATGTAATGACAATAATGAGGACCTCCAACCCTAGAAAAACCTATAATGCCTAACATCCCATGCTGTTAATATCTCTGGTAACTAAAGAACTTTTAGCTACATTTCTCTTTGTAGCTAAATAACTAGGCTTTCCATAAGGAATGCAATGTTGTAACTAAGGACAAGTGTGGAGCAACAGCCCATACTCCTCCTGCTCATTTTCATAATCAATCTACAACTTTAGAAGGTGTCATCTATTTCTGAGTAGTTTCCTCGGAATTTATTTATCAAAATTAGATTTTTCTTGGGTAATGGGTAATATTGGGTCTGGAGCTCATTCATGGCTGTATTTGATCGATAAAATTTGGTAATATTTAAAAGGAGAAATTGTTTTTAAATACACAATATCCTTAATTTTTTATGCTTGATTTTGAAAAGTGCTCTTGGGATTGTCACAGTTTTGTTTTTGAATAAGTCAGAATAAAAACTTTTATTTAATTAAATATAGATTTTTTCTGTTGGTCATTCAAAGAAAAATATTGTTATGGTACTTCTGCAAGAAACAAATCCCCTTTGTTATCCTCATCAGTGGGATACAACTATGCCCACACAACTTAGCTATACCTGTACTTCCTGCAGTCTTATCTACTGGACAAGGGCCATTACTTGCTCCTCTATCATCTGTCCATAGACAGACAGCAGCCAACACTAGCCTATATGGCTTTTTGCTGTGCTACATAAACTTGAGCAGAAACTGCACACACAGTCACATTCTCCGACATACCTTTCAGGAGTCAGGTGGTGAGTGCTTCAGAACACACTAGCATTCAATCATTTGTCATCAAATGCAATTACTAAGCTACCAGAATGTCTCCTGCACAGAAGACAATTTTAGTTCACATGAAGAAACAAAACAGAGTAGCTCAAACAAATGACTGAGTCACAGTCAAGGGAATTCAAAACAATGATACATAGGTGCTTGCACTGAATTGGGAGAAAGATCATGAAAGCTGCAGATGAAATCTAGGAAGACACATTAAAAAAAGAAGAAGAATTCAGGAAAACAATATGAGAACAAACTAAGTAATCGAAAAAATTAGAAACTATATAAAACCAGCAAGTAGAAGTCCAGAAGATTAATAATAAGATTTTTTAAATGGGTACTATATTGAAAGGGCAATAGAGTAAAATTTAATCAGTGGAAGGACAAACTTAAGCTTGAAGACAAATCTTTTTTTAATTTTTAAAATTTATTTTTAAATTGTTTTATTAGGGGCTCATACAACTCTTATCACAATCCATACATACAACAATTGTGTAAAGCACATTTGTACATTCATTTCCCTCATTCTCAAAACATTTGCTCTCCACTCAAGCCCCTGGCATCAGCTCCTCATTTTT